CACCCCTACCACCAGCCACAGCCCCCACCCCACCGCCAGCACGCGCCCCCCCAGCGACGCCAGAGCTGCTGGCGGAGCTGAGCGCCGCGGGACACCCACCCTCAGTGAAGACCCGGTCGACGTTGAGGCCGTACGTGGCACACGTCTCGTAGTAGAGGCACCTCTTCATGTCCCCGCAGAGCGCCTGGGCCCGGGCGTCCTCGATCACCCGGGGGTTGGAGGAGCTGATCTTGTCTGGGGGGAGCAGGGGAGTGAGGCGGGGGTCGTCCCCTCCCCGTCCCCGTCCCTGTGGGGCTGGTCCCACGTCCCCAGCTCACCCTGGGTGCCCACCAGCGCCAGGGCCACCTCGCTGGCGCCCCGGTAGCCGCTGAGCAGCGCGTGCAGCTGCGTCACCTCCTCGAAGCTGCTCTCGTTCTCCAGGCTGAAGACGAAGATGACGGCGTCTGCCCAGCTGGCAAACTGGGGGGGACGCGGACGGGGGTCAGGGCTCGGCACTGGCCGGCACGGCCCCCCCCGGCCCCCAGCCCCCACGTACCTTGGCATCCGGGGCGCCTCCTTCCTCCCGGATGAGCAGGAGGTGGCTCTGGCCATCGACCATCACCTCGCGCTTGAACTGGCCACCTGGAGCCGGAGGGAGGAGAGGGGGAGCCCTGGGCCTCTGCTGGGCCCCATGGCCTTGCCCACCCCATGGCCATGGCCAGCACCAGGACCTTACCTCTACCCATGGCCTTGCCCATCCCCATGGCCATGCCCGGCACCATGGCCTTACCTGTCCCATGGCCACACCCAATCCTACGGCCTTGCCCATCCCCATGGCCATGCCCGGCACCATCAACTTGCCCATCCCATGGCCACGGCCAGCACCAGGACCTTACCTCTACCCATGGCCTTGCCCATCCCCATGGCCATGCCCGGCACCATGGCCTTACCTGTCCCATGGCCACACCCAATCCTACGGCCTTGCCCATCCCCATGGCCATGCCCGGCACCATCAACTTGCCCATCCCATGGCCACGGCCAGCACCAGGACCTTACCTCTACCCATGGCCTTGCCCATCCCCATGGCCATGCCCGGCACCATGGCCTTACCTGTCCCATGGCCACACCCAATCCTACGGCCTTGCCCATCCCCATGGCCATGCCCGGCACCATCAACTTGCCCATCCCATGGCCACGGCCAGCACCAGGACCTTACCTCTACCCATGGCCTTGCCCATCCCCATGGCCATGCCCGGCACCATGGCCTTACCTGTCCCATGGCCACACCCAATCCTACGGCCTTGCCCATCCCCATGGCCATGCCCGGCACCATCAACTTGCCCATCCCATGGCCACGGCCAGCACCAGGACCTTACCTCTACCCATGGCCTTGCCCATCCCCATGGCCATGCCCGGCACCATGGCCTTACCTGTCCCATGGCCACACCCAATCCTACGGCCTTGCCCATCCCCATGGCCATGCCCGGCACCATCAACTTGCCCATCCCATGGCCACGGCCAGCACCAGGACCTTACCTCTACCCATGGCCTTGCCCATCCCCATGGCCATGCCCGGCACCATGGCCTTACCTGGCCCGGCGGGGGCGGCGGGAGGGACACGGAGACACGACGTGGTGGGGACGGGGACATGGCTGTGGGCACGAGGACATGGTGGACATAAGGATGTGGCGGGCACGAGGATGCAGCGTGGCAAGAGGACGTGGCATGGCAGGGGGACACGATGGGCACCAGGACACGGTGTGGCACAAGGACGTGATGTGGCACACGATGGGCATGACGATGTGACGGATGTGGCGCACGACAACATGGCAGGCAGGAGGACACAGCGTGGCACGAGGAGGCGGTGTGGCACGAGGATGCGATGGGCACCAGGACGCAACGTGGCACGAGGATGCGGCGTGGCCCACGATGGGCACGAGGATGCAGCAGACGTAGTGCACGACAACACGGCAGGCACCAGCGTGTTTGGGGCACGAGGACGTGGCGGGGCACAAGTACATGGCGTGGCATGGCACGAGGACGTTGCCTGCGCCTCCCACACCCCCTGCCCGGCACCCCCAGCCCCCCTCAGGCAGCGTGGCACCTCACCTCCCGCACCACGAGAAGGGGAAACTGAGGCAGGGCAGCGGCAGGGGCTCCCCGCCCTCCCCTGAAGCGCCAGGGCCCCCCTCCCATCCCGTGCCTCAATTTTCCCCCACGCCGTACGCAGGGCTGCCCCCCCGCCAGGTGCGCGGCAGGCGAGGGGTTAACGCTGCTGCCTGTCACCCCGCACAGCGTCACCGAGCTGCCACCCCCGGGTGTCCCCGCTGCCACCCCCGGGTCCCCGTCAGGCTCTGCCCACGCACCCCGCGGCACCGGGGGGTTCCGGGATGGGAGCGGGGCGGCCGGAGGGACGGACCCAGTACGCAGGGCTGCCCCCCCGCCAGGTGCGCGGCAGGCGAGGGGTTAACGCTGCTGCCTGTCACCCCGCACAGCGTCACCGAGCTGCCACCCCCGGGTGTCCCCGCTGCCACCCCCGGGTCCCCGTCAGGCTCTGCCCACGCACCCCGCGGCACCGGGGGGTTCCGGGATGGGAGCGGGGCGGCCGGAGGGACGGACCCAGGGTGGCTATGGGGCGGCCGGCCGGAGGGATGTGGGGCAAGTGGGACGGAAGGACGGGTGAATGTGTGACGCACGGACGGCGACAGGGATGGAGGAGCGGACGGACGGATGGACGGCGGGATGGAGACGGGTGAGGGGTCGGCCCCTGAGCCCGATGGAGCCAACCCCCGTGGGGAAACTGAGGCACGGGCGCCCCTGTCACAGCTGGCACCTGAGCACCCCCACGTCGGCTGCCCCACGGGACCCCAGGCACAGGCCGGGACCCCCGGTCCCCCCGCGCGGGGGGTGGCC